CCCCCGACTCTCAGTCCCACCAGCCAACCTGTTTCCTAAATACATATACTTTTCTCTTGGCGTAATTAGTACGTGTCTCTCCTCGCAGACTCTCCGCCCCACACCGGGGTCTGTCTCGCCACGCCCGGCGCCCAGGTGTTATGGATGCCCACCCCCCTCTGTTTTCGTGTCTTGTGGCTGCTTTTACAAATTACCCCAAACTGGGTGGCTTAAAACCACAGGAAAGATTCTCTCCCAGTTCTGGGGGCCGGCAGTGCGACGTCGAGGGGTTTACCGGGCTCCAGAGGCTCCTGCGGAGAGTCCTTCCGCCTCCTCCAGCCCCGGTAGCTCCAAGCCATCCTGGGCAACAGCAGCATAAGGCCCGTCTGCCTCCGTTGTCCCCCGAGCCTCCTGCTCTGCCTGTCTCCTCTGTCTGTCCCGTGTAAGGACTCTCGTCATTGGCTGAGGAGCCCTCCCGGATCATAGGGGAGGGTGTCCTGTCCAGACCCCCAGATACATCTGCAGAGACCCCTTTTCCAAATGAGGGCTCAGTGAGCCTCACCTTTCTCTCCAGAGAGCCAGACCGTAAACGTTCAGGCTTTGTAGCAACTCCTCAGCTCCGCCCTTGCAGCTCCAAGGCAGCCGTATACAACCCATGAGTGGCCGGAGTGGGGGGGTGGGGGACTGGGCTCCAGTAACTCTCTATCTGCCCAAGCAGGACAGCGTGGGTCCTGCCACGGCCAGCTTGCCCATGCCTGCTGCAGAGAGGGGGAGCCATGGCGTGTTCTTGAGCAGGGGGACCGCGTGCGTGCCCAGCTCTGGGCTCTGGGGAGATGACAGGCCCTGCGGGGCAGCGTCCGGCCTGGGGCAGGGAAGACCAGGGCCCCTTTGCTCAGGGTCCGGGGACGAGGGCCGCGGACTCTGCTGCTGAGTGTGTGGTTTTCCCGAGATAACGAGGCATCTGCCCCCTCTGGAAAGCAGGATGCTTGCTGCGCTGGGACCACCCAAGGAACGGACGGTTTATTGATCTAATTTTGACATAAAAGACTTTAATAACGTTTACTAGGCTTGCGAGCTCTCTCCAGGCCAACGCCCACCTGGCATCGAGGCAGCTGACTGGGTAAAGAGCTCTCTGCAGGCAGCTCTGCCAGGCTTCACGTTGGTTTTGATTAGAGGGAGGAGGGGGAGGGGAGGGCGGGAGGATGGTCCCAGGCCACGAGCAGCTTTGGAGAAGCGGGGCCGGGGAAGAGCCAAGTGCTCCCACATCCTCTTGGGCAGCGAGGACAGTGGGGGGTGGGGTGCGCGGGGTGAGGGGGGAGAGGTGGCCTCGATGGGGGACACCTTTGAGTTCTGACATTCCTGGTTCCCTTTTTGCTTCTTCCCTTTTCATCTGGGGACTCTTGCTGACTTAACCTGGATCCAGATGTTCGCTTTATAGGAATATACTTGGCATCCATTAAAAGCCTCGGAATGCTGACACGATTGGATATTCTTTTAGAGCTGGGTGGCCCCACAGTGTGTGTCACGCCAGCACTTCTGGGCAAACTGGTCTTGTCTGACAGAGCAGAGCTCAGTGCAGGCAACGATGAGGGAGTCAGCAAGATGCTCAGAAACGTGGCCATGACCTTTCCACGTGGCCATGACCTTTCCACGTGGCCACGACCTTTCCACGTGGCCACGACCTTTCAATGCCACTGTCTCTGCTTCTCCGTCTCCCTCCGGCCCCCCAGCTAACCAGCATGCAGCACCTTTTACAGGCATTGGCGTGAAGATGTGTAAACCCATATTGTCCTCTCTCTCCTCACCGACCCCCATCTCACGGCCTTGGGGTTCGAGTAGTTTTACAAAACTGCACTCAGCGCCAGACCGGTTGCAGTCCCCCTGGCCAGGCCTCAGCTCCCGGGTCTCCTGTCTCCGGGTTCCCCCAAGGCCGGAAGCTCTGCTGGCCGAACTCGAACAGTGTCCCAGCTGGAAGGGAGCCGTCCGGCCCAGGAACCCACATGCGGGCACGTTTTAGAGCCAACATTCGGGAACAGAAGGCCTCTGCGCACGGACATGACTCCAGTGTGAGCCCAGGACAGTCAGTCCGTGTTCTCGGTGAATAATCCCCGAAGGGCCCCAGCTCCTCTTTGCAATGGCGGGAACTGCGTCTCCAGCAGCGAAAGTTACGTACAGCACCGTCTCGGCGATGAAGACCTGGACGTCATCACAGCCACGGGGATGATAGTTGTGCTCCGAAGGCAAACGCCTCCGCTCTCCCACTTCCCCGTAGATGACCAGTAAACGCCTGCGGAGTGAATAGATGACTCTAAGCGTGTCCGCCGGATGCCTGGCCGTCAGTCTCACAGTGATTGCACTGGCCAGTTGTTTTCTGAAAACATTACACATCTCAGAGGGGCTGGACCCCAGGCGTGGTCGGCTCCACCTGTGGAGAGGACGTCTAGGACACGGCGCCCTTCATTCCACACAGGAACGGGTCCAGGGGATGTGGAAACTTGCGCAAGGTCACCGCTGGGAGACGCCCGAGCCGGGACTTGAGCGGAAGGGCTTCTTCTCTCCCCCCTCGGCCGTCTCATGAGGCCTGCGCTGCTGGGCCCCCACGGCCTGCGTCTGTGCTCAGCACCTGCACTGACAGCCTCGCTCGTTCGAGGGGAGGCTGCGAGGGGTCTTGAGCTGTGCTGAGAAGAAGAGATTTCAGCCCCAGCCGATTTGGCTCAGTGGTTAGAGCGTGGGCCTGTGGACTGAAGGGTCCAGGGTTCAATTCCAGTCAAGGGCACGTGCCTCGGTTGCAGGCTCGATCCCTGGCTCTGGCCCAGGCTTGTGTGGAAGGCAACCAATCGATGTGTCACTCTCACATCGATGTTTCTCTCTCTGTCTCTCCCGTCCCTTCCACGCTCTCTTAAAATCAATGGAAAAACGTCCCTGGGTGAAAATTAACAACAACAAAAATAGACTGAAGACGAAAGAAGAGATTTCACGCAGAGTTGAGCGGCCCATTTCCTGTTGGCCCCGGCCCACTCTCAGGGCACACAGACTTGCATCTCTGGGAAATCTGGTCTGGTTTATCTGCTCTGGAGATTCCCATGTGACTGCTGCTCTCTGGGGCTGTGTGTCTGTGCCCCCCTCCCAGCCCCACCCTGGGCCTGGCCACCTTGGCCTTGGCTGCCTCAGGACTCCGCTGTGACCCCCTGGAGCACTTGACCCCCAGGAAGAGAGGAGGGGAGTGGAGCCTATGGGGCTGGCGGGCCTCCCTGCCGACTCTGCCTCTCTGTTCCCTTCCTCCGCCCCACGTGGCACTTCTGCTGTGCAGGTGTCACCGAGTCCCTGGCTGATCACCTACAATGCTGTCCCCGAGCAGAGGACACCACACGCGTGCAGGAGTCCGACTCAGGAGGAGCGGAGAGCCCCATGGCACAGGCAGCGAGCGCTGGGACCCGCTGGCCCCACTCGCTGCCGGCTCTGGGAGATGCCCTAGCACAGGAGAGCAGCCCTGGGGCAGACAGAACATGAGGTGAATGGCCAGATGTCACAGATGAACTTGAACTTCTCACCTTGTAGCCAGGTCAGAGATGGAGGAGCTGCAGCATCATTTCTGGGCACCCAGGGATCTGCCCAGCGGGGCAGCCCCTGCATCGGGGCAGCAGCCTGGGTCTAGGGATTCGCACATGCTGGTTGGTGCAGATCCCGCCCTCTGGGGCCCTGCTGCCCTTGGTCTGCCTGACACCATCCCTTGCCCCGGGGAAGGGATTCGGCTACTGGAGGCCTCTGTGAGCCGCCCCTGCCTAGTGAGCTTCTCCATGCCAGCTGCACCCCTTAGTTCCAGGAGCCACTAGGGCAGTGATGGCGAACCTATGACACGCGTGTCAGAGGTATGTGTGTGTGTGTGTGTGGTTGATTTTTCTTTGTTAAATGGCATTTAAATATATAAAATAAATATCAAAAATATAAGTCTTTGTTTTACTATGGTTGCAAATATCAAAAAATTTCTATATGTGACACGGCACCAGAGTTAAGTTAGGGTTTTTCAAAATGCTGACACGCCGAGCTCAAAAGGTTCGCCATCACTGTAATAGGGGACGCCCCGGGGCAGCTGATGCACACACCCCCACACACACACACTGCCTGGGAGCAGCGCTCAGAGGGGGCATTTGTCCCGGTGCAGGGCACCAGCCCTGCACGCAGGCGTGTGGCCTGGCAGCCACCGATCGGCCTGGCCTGTGTGGAGGTGACTGTCCAGCACGAGGTCACGGCTGTGGGTGTCCAGTTAGCAGAGTGGCATCGTTTGCCCAGAAAGTCTTACCCTCTTTCTTTCCTGCAGTGATGCTTGGCCGCTGGGCCCTTTCGGAGCCCGGCACCGGCTCCCCGTCCTACAGTGACGGCACTTTGTACTTCCCCGGGCCCTTCGTTCAGGCGTCTGACGGCCCTTCTTGTTCTGTGGGCCCTGCCTGCCGAGGCCACTTCCTCGTTCGGAGGGTGGGACGGGCCCCAGCAGGCCCGGTGGAGGACCACGGAGTCAGGGCACGGTCTTCCCTGAAGTTCCTGTGAGTCAGGGCTGATCGACAGCCAGGCCTCCAGCTGCTGGCTCTTCCCGATGTGTAACCAGCCCGGGCCGGTCAGCTGGAGCCAAGCAGTCCTTACCCAAGGCCCTCTGCTGCCCCGAGTCCTTACACACACACACACACACACACACACACACTTACACACATGGCCTCTCCTGCCCCGAGTCCTTACACACGCGGCCTCTCCTGCCACGAGTCCTTACACACGCGGCCTCTCCTGCCCCGAGTCCTTACACACGCGGCGCCTCCTGTCCCCCAAGTCCTTACACACGCGGCCTCTCCTGCCACGAGTCCTTACACACGCGGCCTCTCCTGCCCCGAGTCCTTACACACGCGGCCTCTCCTGCCCCTGGGTGAAAGCAGGACACACTCAGGCTCCGAGCCTTCTAGGATTCATGTGGCCTCCTTTTCTGCTCGTGTAAAATTGGAATAATCGTGCCCCTTGGCAAAAACTTTGGAGGTTCAGCAACAGACTCTAGAGCAGTGGTTCTCAACCTTCCTAATGCCGCGACCCTTTAATACAGTTCCTCATGTTGTGGTGACCCCCAATTTCATTGTTACAAATGGAACATAATTAAAGCATAGTGATTAATCACAAAAACAATATGTAATTATATGTGTTTTCCGATGGTCTTAGGCAACGCCTGTGAAAGGGTCGTTCGACCCCCAAAGGGGTCACGACCCACAGGTTGAGAACCGCTGCTCTAGAGAGTATTTAGCTCAGCCTGAGCATATACTTGCTTAGTAAAAGACATTATTAAAATATTACTTTAAAAGGTACCATTAAAATATTTAAAACGGTATTAAAATGTATTTTAATAGGTATAAACATTATTTTAAAAGGCATTAAAATATTTTAAAAGGCATTATTAAGATATTCTTTATAAGGTATTATTAAACTATTTTAAATATTTATATAAATGAAAATAGACAGGGTGGGGCAGAAGGAGGTTTCCAGCCGGGAGCACGGGAGAGAGCTTATTCTTGTGTTGTTATTTATTAATATCGAACTATTTTCCATGCGAACAACTGGACCTCCTCTCGCCCCTCCTGCACTTAGTAGTTGATTAACAGTAACAACCTGCTGTCATTTTGCCAGCGTCACCAGCACTGCCGGCTCCGCCTTTCCCTCCTCACCCTCGTCCCCACAGCCCGTGCCTGCCCCGCTCACGGTTTCACACTGTCTCCCTCTGAGCTCGCGCCTTTCCTTTCCACGGTGGGGTGTGGAGCCAGGCAGGCTCCCGTCTGATTTAAATATTATGCTTTTACCCCCGACTTTATGGGATAAAAGGTGGCCACGAGCTTAAGGTATCGTCGGAATCCCAGGTGGCCTGGGCTAAGGCCCGTGCCCTAGACAGGCTGACATAGTCAGGCCCTGGGGCCGAGGCTGCAGCCCAGGTGGCAGTGGCTCTGTCGGGCCCCGAGGGAAGTCCTGGGGGTCCCCTTGGCCGTTGTCAGGCTGGCTGTGCAGGTGGTGGCTGCCCACTTCTCTGCTCGGAGAGGAGGGGCTCCTGTCCTGGCTTGTTGGCTCCCTGGCACTTGCCCCTCACTTTTACGATGTGTTACTGGCTCATAAATCGTCTGCCTGTCCCAGGAGCCTGGGCAGGGCCTCCAGGCCACAAGCCGGACACTCGCACCGTTGATTTTACCAGGATGTGGTGCCGTGACCTCCAGCACCATGAGTGCAGCCACTTCCGGGGGCCAGGGGGGTGAGGGGGTCATGGAACACACGCTCTGCCTCCTGAGCTGTCCGGGGATCCTGACAAATCCTTTGGGTGTCCCCTGCGG